GCCACTGGCTGCATGGAGGTGGGAGAATACCCTGCAGCCTCCCCCGCCCCCCTGGGACAGGGGCTTGGCAGTGAGACTGAACCTGACCATGACACAGCACAAGGGCCGTGTCTGCCACAGAAACACCCTGGGGCCCTGCCCCTTTTGTGCCAGGCACACCAGATGTGGGCAGGGAGGCTCAGCCTGGCAGCAGGATCCAAGTGCAGAGGGACTTAGTGGGGGGGGGGGTCCAGATGGGGGTAAGAGGGTTCTGTGGGGGGAAGTCTGGGTGCAGGCAGCTCAGTGGGGGATCTGGATGCACAGGGAGGTTCCAGGTTCAGGGGCAATGGGAGTCAGCAGGGGGAACCAAGTGAAAGTGGTTGGAGCTCGGGGTCGGGGGGAGTCTGGGTTCAGGGGAGGTGGGATTGTTGTACTTAAAGTACTGCACAGGATCTTTTCAGGGGGAATAAGGCAAATGCCACATTCATTGGTAATACATGCAACAATCAACACTGTATCATATGCATACAATCTATATTACACTCATGCACTCACATACACACACATACAAACACACTCTGTCTTGTTGTTGTTACCACCTAGTTGCTCCCCTTAACTTCACTGGCCAGGTGAGCTAGATAGGGGAGGGGTGGAGCCGGGCTTCTGCCAATCTGGATCAATGCTCTGATGTTGACAAGACCCAGGGTCCTCTGCAAGACACCAGTCATTCAGAGTAGCTTCCCTCTCATGCAAATCTATACCAGATTCAAAATCTGTGTCCTTTGTGCTGCTTCCTTCTGGGTGTTGTCCCAATACTATTCAAAGAGGGTGTTTCCAAAAGAAGGTGCTTGATTCTAAACTCACCCTCCCAAGGCCGTCAATATGTCTGCTCTTCTTTAGTGAGCCCACTTGACAAGTTTGACTATCCTTGGGTCTGGCTTCCATCCCCTCTCCAACTAGCTGTCTGGAGGTGCTTGCCTTCCATGCCTTGCTCATTCACACCTCATTTATTCAACATGCCAATTGATTAAGGGAGTGTGGGGAGGGGGAATCTTATACTACTCCTAGCAAAAAGACATTTTTCTTCTACTTTAACTATCCTTAGGGGCTATAACATTATACCAAGGCTTAACACAAAGTTTTCTATAAGTTTTTCTACATAGGGATCTGATACAAAGTTCCTATATCAAAGGACTTGATACAAAGTTGTATGAAAATAGCTTAATAAAGGGTTATATGAAGAGGCATAATACAAAGTCATATGAAAGTTATGTGAAGATGCTTAATACAGAGATTTATCTACAGGGTTGATTTGGGTGGGGGTCTAGGTGTAGGTGTCTGGGGCTCAGTGGGGAGGGTATCTGGGAGGGCTCATTGGGGTGGTACAGATGCAGAGGAGGTGGGGCTTGTCGAGGTGAGGATTTGATGGGCCTGCTTAACAAGGGAGCCCTAGCTGCTGCCAAGGGGATCCGCATGCTGGGCCCCCGTTTCCCCATCCCAGGGATCGGAAAACTTTGGCACGTGGCCCACCAGGGTAAGCCCTCTGGCGGGCCAGGCTGGTTTATTTACTTGCCGCGTCCACAGGTTCGGACGATTGCAGCTCCCACTGGCCGTGGTTTGCCACTCCAGGCCAATGGGGGCTGCGAGAAGCCGCGGCCAGCACATCCCTCGTCCTGCAGCTCCCCATTGGCCTGCAGCCGCGATCGGCCGAACCTGCGGACACGGCAGGTAAACAAACTGGCCCAGCCCACCAGGGGGCTTACCCTGGTGTGCCACATGCCAAAGATTGCCAATCCCTGCCCTATCCCCTTCTCTTCCCCATCCCATGCCCCTTCCCCATCACTCCATCTCCTCCCCATCCCACCCCCTTCCTTCCCCACTGCCTCTGTCCCCCTGCCCTGCCTGCCCCACCATGGGCACTCACTGTTGTACAAGATGAAGGATGGCTCCCAGCACACAGAAGGGAGCTCAACCAGCACTAGGATCCAGAAGGTCGTGTCCAGCTGCAAAGTCCCGGGAACTGAGCAGCACCTTCTTTTTTCAGCCTGGCTGTGCAGCTCTGCAGTCACGGAGTAGGTCTGCTTGTTCCACCGCCCCTCCCCAACCCCCCACCCCGCCTCTTCTCTGCCTCCTCTCCCCAAGTGAGCATGCTGTAGCTGTGCTCCTCCCCCACCCTCCTGCTGGCAAACAGCTGATCGGCAAACAGCTGATCAGTGGCAGGGAGAGGGAGGGTGGGAAGGGAGCAAGCTGTAAGAAGAGGAAGGGGAGGGAGAGGGGAGCTTGGCTGCCCTACTGCAGCAGGAGCCTCACTGTCAGGAGCACCAAGCTTCTGCCCCCCGCAGGAGAGAGCGGGGGGCAGAGAAGAGTGGGCCTGGTCGGGGCCCCCCTGGAGTGTGGGCCCGGCTCCATGGCGCCAGTGGCTCTATGGTAAATCCGCTACTGGAGGTGGGTGTGCAAGGCTGGTGGCGGGGCGAAGATGCAACACGCGGGGCCAGCTGCTGCCCCTGCTGGTCCATCAGCGCAGTCCCTGCTTTGTTCTGGTTCTCGTCCAGCCGGGCCCTGCCCCCATCTTGTTTCAGGCCAGCACTGGATGCGAGCTGCGATGGCTGGTGAGTGTGGGCAGGCACCAGGCAGAGGCCAGTTACGTGTTGCCTCTGTTGCCCACCCATCAGCCCTTTACATGCTCCCCTCTCACTGTCCTCTCCTTGCTTTGCCCCTTTGCCCCTCCCCCCCCCAGCTTCGCTGCTCCTCCATAGCCCCACCAGTGGGGCTTATCCCGCTCCCAGCACTGTGTGGAGAACCAGCCCCTGGTCAGAGTGCTTAACTCACCAGCAGCCTGGCCAGCAGACGCCTTCCTTCCCCCACTGCCTCTGGCTGGGCAGGCACCCTGGGAAAGCCCAAGACTCCCCAGCTCAGGGATGAGGTGATGGTGATGAGGTGCTGAGACCCGCATTTGCCAAAGCCCTGCACAGCGCTGGCATGGGGAATCCTCAGCCTGTTCATGCTCCGAACCTGCAGGCTCTACAGCAGCCCAAAGAGCAGAGGCTTTGCACCCTTGTCCCTCCCCATCCCTCTGCCCTGGGTCCTTCCTTCAGGGAGTGCGGGGCTGCTCTGTCCCCTAGGAACCCACCTTTGTTGAGCCACTGGCTGGTTCACTGAAGCCCCTGCAGTCAGGTTCTCTGGGCCCTGGTGCACAATGCATCCTTAGGGATTAACCCAGGGGCGGGCAAACTTTTTGGCCTGAGGGACACATCAGGTTATGGAAATTGTATGGAGGGCCGGTTGGGGGGGGGGACGTGGCCCGGACCCCACCCCCATCTGCTCCCCCCCATCTACCTCCCCCCTGCTTCTAGTCCCCTGACGGCCCATCCCAGGGACTCCTGTCCCATCCAATCCCCCTGTTCCCTAATGGCCCCCGGGACCCCTGCCCCATCCACCCCGCCCACACTCCCTGTCCCCTGACTGCCCCCCGCCGGCCCATTCAACCCCCGCCCTCTTTCCTGATTGCCCCCCTGGACTCCTGTCCCCATTCAACCGCCCTGTCCCTGCCCTCTGACCGCCCCAAACCTATCCACACCCCCGCCTCTGACCACCACCCTGAACTCCCCTGCCCTTTATCCAACCCCCCCGCCCCTGGAGCACCGGTGGCTGGTGGTGCTATAGCCATGCACCGCGCAGCACAGAGTACCGGATCAGGCCGGGCTCTGCAGCAGTGCTGCCTCAGGAGATTGCAGGCCCACCGCCCAGAGCTGAGGCTGCATGGGATGGGGAACAGCAGGGGAGGGGCCGGGGTCTAGCCTCCCAGGCCAGGAGCTCAGGGGCCGGGCAGGAAGGTCCCGTGGGCCACGCTGTAGTTTGCCCACCTCTGGCTTAACCCCTTCCTGCCTGCACTGTAACCGGGGGATGACAAGAGGCAGCTGGGTTAGGTTGGTGGCCAGCAGCAGCCTGGAGGTATTAACTGCCTTTTGACAGTATGTGAATAGGAAGAAACAAGCTGCTTCCAGTCACAGGTTGTGGTGTGGGGAAGAAAAGAAGAGATGAGCTCTGCAAAGATGCAGGCAGGTCATCTTCCCCGCCCTTGACTGGAAGCAGTTCCCATCCCTTCCCTCCCACACAGTGCCGAATGGCTGCTGCTGGCCACATTCTGGTGTGAACCCTGGCAGAAATCTGTTTGTGTGTGTGTGTGTGTGGGGGGGGGGATATGACCCTGCATCTCATTCTCTCCACACATACACATGTTGCCTCAGAAAGATGAGGTGCCAGGTACCAGGAGAGGCGGGTCCGTCCTAGGGGCCCAGCCAGGCATGGAGGGTGGAGAGTGCTAGTCAGGGAGGGTCAGGTCGGTTGGTTGATCAAACCACTGTGTGAGAGAGTGTACAGGAGTGTGTGTGTCACCCATCCCTGTGTGAATCCTAAAGCCTTAAAGATAAGAAGGTAAATAAAAAGAATCCCAACTACACAGTATTTCTTTTTATGGGGGCTCAGTCAATTTGATGTTAATTTGAACATTTGTAGTGCATAGTTCTGATTGATTGCCTTTGAACTCGCTTGAATATGAATAATTTTATCAGGTGTCCCGTATTCAGCATAGGGAAATATGGTCACCCTAATGATTGTTCTCTAAATTTTCTAAGCTTTACCCATTCTAGTTTTAAAATGTGACAGGAAAACAATTGGCTTTTTGAGACATCTGCTCTCCTTCTCTAAGAGGCATAGAGAAGTAGAAAACCAAGTAAAAATAATGGAAAAACCCTTGAAATAATGTAAAAAGGGAAGAGTGGAGACAATTTGACACATCTCTCTCCCCAAAGTCTGTGCCTCAGACTGTGTCTGAGGGCACATCTTCACTACCCGCCGGATCGGCGGGTAGCAATCGATCTATTGGGGATCAACTTATCGTGTCTAGTGAAGACGCGATAAAATCGATCCCCGATGGCTCTGCCATCGACTCCGGAAATGCACCGCGGCAAGAGGCGGAAGCGGAGTCGACGGCGGTGCGGCAGCGGTCAACTCGCCACCGTCCTCACAGCCAGCTAAGTCGACCTAAAATACGCAACTTCAGCTATGCTATTCACGTAGCTGAAGTTGCGTATCTTAGGTCGACCCCCCTCCCGCCCATAGTGTAGACCTAGCTTGAGTATCCAGGGGTATTTGGGGAAACTGGGAGTGGCTAAGAGGCAGGAATAGAACAGAAAAGCAGGCTGTTTGTGTGGCATAATTCCTGCAGACACCAGCAGATTTTTTGGTGGATAGCCTTACAGAAGTTTATTGCTGCTGTGACAGTAAGAGAGAGCAAGCAAGCATGAGAGTGCATGAACCAGGGTGTATTATGTGTAGCTGCACATGAAGAAGTTACTAAGGAAAAGCTAAGTCAAGGAAATTACATTTGCAGTTTTAGTGTTTTTGAAAGCTATCTCTCTTCTGAAATCTAATGTGGAATTCAGGCCATTAAATGTGGAAAAGATAGAAAAACATGGAGTTATCTGATGGCTAATTTAAACTGAGAATATATTTTAAAATCTGATCAATATTATTTTTAACACAATGGTCATCTAATGGAGATATATCTATGTACAAAAACAGAAAACACGGAATTGATCTGCTATGGTTCCCTCCCTTCCTTCTTTGGCTTGTAAGAGTGACAAGGATAGTCTGAATCAAAATATGAACAGGTCTAGGAAACAAAATAGTGAAGAAGTCAGCTTTGGGAGGGCAGGAAGAAAGACAGTTTGGTCAAAAAAGCAAAATCACTATTTTTAACATTCTTAAAATCTTAATTCCCACAAATTCGGAACTGTGTTTAAAAACTACCTGTTTCAATTAATGTATTCCTCCACCCCATGGGAGAACATGGGCACCAGCCATGGATGTATGAAAAAGGACAGCAGACCATCTTACTATTCCCCACATCTCCCCAAAGACAGCAGTTAGGGGGAGCAGGCCAGGCAGGTGCCCATGAAGACATGGGGCAGGGAGAAAGAAGGATTGTAGGAAAATGAGGAGGGGCATATAATGTGCTAGTGGAGTTTGAAAGGGTGGCAAGACTTGCTGATTTCAATAGGAAATTAAGAATTTCTCTTGGAGTTTCAGGCTCATATGGATACAACATCAAACTGTAACTAGGTTTGCAAAATATGCAGAATATGCAGAACTGACATATTAGGTATATAGGATCCCCATGAACCAAAACTTTTAGGTTTTTTTTTCATATTCCTATTAATGACTCCAGGACAGTTGCTATTGACCCTGTTAGAGAATATCCCTGACCCAGTGGCTGAGAAATGCTGGTCTTACACATCATTTTTTAACATTTGAAGAGAATGGTATTTCAAAGCTTTCAAAATTTGTCATTTTGAAAGTCCTAATGCTTAGAGTGCTGTTTCATATAAGAAGACTACTGGTACTTAAACATGATTTAAATACTTATACATGTAGAATTAATAAAACAGATATATTTAAACAAAAGCACAGTTAAGACCTTAAAATAAGCTGATAGGTACATGTTTGTATGCATGCACGTATATGTGGGAGAAGAGGTTGGGACAGAAAAAATAAGAGAGGAGGGGTGATTTGAAATCTAAATGAATATTGATATTTATAAGTCTTTTCTTCTGCAGATCTCAAATACATGTATGAAGGAATGTATGCACCTTCTAACATTATATAGGTGGGGAAACTGAGGCACAGAGGAACAAAGTGACTTGCCCAAATTTACATAAAAGGTCAGCAGCAAAGCAGGGAATAGAATCTCTAAATCTCCTGGTTCCCAGTCCATTGCCTTGTCCTCTGGACAATACTAAATTTGAACCAGGTATCCTTCACCTTGCATGTTTTAAATTCAGTTTGTCTGAAGATAAACTAGGACATTGCCACAGTAAGTAAAATCAGATTTTTGCTTTAGGAGACAGTAATCAAGAGAACTGAGAATGAAAAATTCACAACTGCAAACTCCAATTCAGATTTGGTACACATTGAAGCAGGCACATTTCCTGCGAGTCTAATGTAATATGAATACAAGTCCTGAATACTGTATTAGAAATAATACACATCGTATTTCTTTGTATAGATCTGCCATGTGTTTCAGAGCTCTCTCTTTCTTCTAAATCTTTATCAGTTTTTCTCTGTTCCTAATGATCAGTGTTAGGCTTGTCACTGTAGGGTTGTTTTATGAAGCATGCTGGCTCCCCTCATCTTTGCTCACTGTCTCCGTGGAGTCACCAGCATCATACGTGGAACTCTGCTTGATCCCAAATCCAGAGCTCACTTTCTGCTGTCTCTTTAACCTGAAAGGAAACAAAGTGTGTGACGCGAAAACAAATCAGAAATGCCAGTTGTAAATTTAAAACTACGGCAGATCAAATGTCTTCCAAGGAAAAGTTTTGTTATCACTCAAGTGTAGAGCACTAGAAGTTTAGATCAGACAAGGAATTTTGCAGCTCAGTTAACTTTAGGGCACATATTGGATTTCCCCCCCAACAATTGATTCCTTAATGCACCTAAGGGAAAAGAGATTCTGTTTTAGACTAAATTATCTGAAATCATCTTTTGCAACAAGAAGCAGGGTATGTACGTTTGCTTACTTACTTTGAGATGACTATGACCCTTTACTGAATGGCATTTTTGGACTGTGGTAGGAATGTATATGATTTTTTCATCTATTTTGAGCAACAACTGCTGAGCCTTCTTTTGGGTATGTGTGGGGAAGTATAATAAGGCACCTAAATAATCAAGATAACGCAAGCCACTGGTTTACCAGGTTTTAGTGTCTGAAGGGCAGGATGGAGCCAGGAAATATGCAGAAACAACTATCCTGAAAAAATATGTTGGGTTTGATACATTATACGGCATTTTGCTCAACAACAGTGAGTCCAGGTTAACATTTTGTAAATTACAGTTAACTCTCATTCTTTAATAACTATTGTCCATTACAATGAAACCTCCTATAAAAAATGAGGTTGATAGGAATTAAAATAAATTAATCCTCTAGTACAGAGAGCCAGTGAAATTACTTAGCAATACCCTGTTATACTGTAGGTTGCTTTTGCCACTTAACCACATTAGAGATGCTATTCCATATATTCATATGAATACATCAGCACTTATGTTAGCTTGATGGTTTTCAAGGTAACACTGCACAATGCCACTTTATACTTTTCCCTATTCTCTTTTTTCCCCCAGAAAGGGAGACTACCACCAGAATTTAAAACTGAAAAAAGTCAATTGGAAATCAGGGATATGAACTTAAATGATACAAATGACATTATGTTCCCTCAGGAATATGGATGTTACATTTTCAATAGGAAATAATTTCCCTTTAAAAAAGAAATATGTCTTGCTAATAGAAACACACAGTCAATTCCATTAATACTAGCCTATATTTTTTATTTATAGTTCCAAATTAATGGGCTGCTCTGATCCTTGTATAACATTTAGCTGATGGTTTCCTGCCTTCTGATATCTTTAATGCATCAGTAGAGATAGATGTTCATTTTAGTCAATTATTTAATTGCCCGAATACAATTACATATGTTATGAACCAACAGTAAAATCAATATCTTGCCTAATAACTTTTAGAATATTTAGAATAAGTATTTGAAAGTGTCCGTAAAAGAAAATATGTTTGCCAGCCTTCACTAATAAACTTGAATACTGACCCTTTTCCAATGCTAGCACCAATCCATTATAAACGACACTATGCAAAATGTCTTCTAACCTATTAATATAGAGGAAACCCCTGCACCCACAACCATCAGCAGTATCACAATCAAAACCAGCTCCTACTCTGTGAGGACTACTGGGACTGCTGTTCTATTTAAGTTAATCCTTATCAAGGTATAAATGGAGTGCATTGCACAGACATCAAATGTTTTTAGCTCAATTTTATTTTCCGTATTTGCAATATATATTCGTAACAGGTCTGAAGTAGTTCTGTGCTTTTATTGCTTCTATGCCAGTATTATATATTACTGTTGTAATGTCCTATTTAAGAGAGAACATTTAAGGAATCAGAGTGAGCGGGCTATTGCTAATGGAGAGATTCTGTGATGAGGCCAAGACAGTTATTCTAGAAGTAGTTGCCCAATATCGCAGCACAAATTCAGATTCAAATTACTGTTACTGCTAGTAAATGAAATTCAATCTTAAATGAATAATAAAAACATACCTAAGCAAAGCATCAGGGGGTAGCCGAGTTATTCTGTATTCCCAGAAACAATGAGGAGTCCGGTTGCACCTTAAAGACTAACAAGTTTATTTGGGCATAAGCTTTTGTGGGTAAAAAACCCACTTCTTCAGATGCAGATGCAGGTATTATCAGCTTGAGTCCACCAATGAAAAAGAATGTAGTGACTGGAGAATAAATAGGCTCTAAACTTTCTCAGCTTTAGAAAAAAAAGTAATAAATACACTATATTTGCTTGTTTGTGGGCATCCCAACATAGCTGTGAATGCAGTGGTGGGAAAGAGCATCTAAGGAGTTTTTCCTCCATAGTCTATGTAGGGACCAGGCACGATCCCCCTGGGCAGAATATTGCAGACTAGTGTGACAGTGGGTGCTAGGACCATGGTTTAATTGCTTTATTTTCTAACAGACAATGTAATTATTATTGGGGCTTGAAGAGTGAGCCTCTTCCCATCTCCACGCCTCTCCCTGGAGAAATTCTGGACTTTACAATTAGGAGCTACACTTGTGGTTCTAGCCCCCATTGTGTTTTGCAGGCTACTGAAAAGTTAACTTTTTTGCAGGCACAGTTTACAGGCTCTGGAAATCAGATACTATGCATTAATATTGCATTTAAAACAAACAAAAAACAAACCAAAACAACTGTTGCAGACAAGAAATCCCTAAGAAAAAAATTAATCAATCAATTTGTGTTGAGTGTTTTGGTTCATTCAGCAAGAACTTCTTGTGTTGCACTCCAGCCTGGCTTATCTTACCTTATTTTATCTTGGATGATGTATGGCCCACAGGATAAAACCCTTACTGTCTGAAAGCCTTCCATGTAAAAGTGAAAACAATTGCAAAATCTCTAGTAGACTTCATGGAGTCTCTGGCTCTTCTTCTTATTCAGCATTAAATTTCTGCTTGAGGAAGGGTTTTGTTTCTGATTTTTTAATTAGAAAAACCACTTTTTTTGGTAGATTGTTTCGGTTTGGTTTTGGTGGGTCGGGGTCTTTTGAGTAGAAGACTCACTCTGAGAGTCCTGATACATCAAAGTAAAGCAGATAGAAGATATGCTTATGATTTTTCAGCACTTGGAAACACAAGAATCTAGTAACAATTAACACGATCTTATAAAAACACAATATGAAGCCTTCAGGTGGGTTATATTTTTGTAAGTCAAGCCCAGATCCTGCAATCTGCTTCACATTCGCAGAGCTCTGCACTTGCATGGATCCCCACTGATCTGAAGGAGATTCTGCTCACACTGAAGCTTTCAGGATCAGGGCCCTTAGGGATAATATGAAAACAACGGGGATGCCCAAGTTAACTGATGGCATCATTGGTCCTGCAGAATTATTGTTACTAGTGATAATGTGCAAGAAGGAAACAGCCCACAGCAGCTTGAGTCATAGAGCCTCGCTTGAACTTAGAAGGCTGGCAGTTAGAAAAACATCAGATTTTTGCTCATACATAGGGAAAATTGGCTGTAGAACCAGTCAAACCCCCAGAAACCGATGGTGTCATTTTTATGTAGTCACTTTTCAAAATGGAATTACACTTTAAATCTCCCTATGCACCGTCAAACAATGCCTAAATTCTCCTAAAAATATACATTTATTTGTATTACCCTGGTACCTAGGGGCCCCAGACATCGACCAGGACCCCATTGTGCTAGGTGTTGTATGACAGCAAATGTTACATTGTTTACTGCAGTCATTTATATAAAATGCAAAGACTAACAAAAATCAATGACACCGAAAAGGTCGGATTGCAAAGCGCCTATCTGAATTAGGAGAAGAAGTCCCATTGTCAGGCAATACATTTCTATTTTTCAGTAACAGATCCTTTAAATGGACATGATTCTTCTTCTCTGTGTTAAGCCTCCAAACTGTTGCCCTTCAGACTTGGAACACAAATTTCCTGAGTGCACACAAGGAAAATGGACATGACCATCTCTCATGTGTAAAACAGCACACTACGCCCTATCTGTCTCCATAGGGTTCTAAACGGTCCCTGTGCTACACATTGTTCAATCCAGAGCTGGATAAGTCTATGAAAAACAGCTCAGTTTTAAAGTGGTAGATGCAAATGAAACAACAGAGAAAGTTTGGAGAAAAAGGTGTCTCTACAGAGGAGTGAAAGAAAATTGGCCAAATCTTCTGGCCATCAACATGGATTTAAATTATCCAGATATAGCTAGTGAAGAATATATACTCAGGGAAGCTTGCCACAGTGGAAAGCTGGGGAGGTGGCAGATCTGGCTCCTGCGTCCGCAGTCCTCCCACCAACACGGGTGGAGGGTGTGTGGACAGGGTGTGGCTCAGCTCTGCTGTGCCTATTCTGCCACTGGTAAAAGGTTACTGTGACTCACTGATCGCCTTTATCTTCACTTTGCCTGAGCTCCATTCGGGTGAGGTTAAGAATCTGGTCCAGTGTGTAGAGGCTCGTGCCAGTAGTTGAATAGTAATACAGGATCTAACCTTTTAACCTCAGTACAGAATAGTAAAAGAGTATAAAAAAAAAATTAAAAGTAAAATACAGAAACTTTAATGTGGCTAGCCCTTTGTGCTTGCAACAAACAATCTTATTTTCAAAGGAAGTGCTTTAACCTGGGTGATAAGTCTGGATTCAAGAGAGTGAAGGAATACTATTGGACTGCTGATGGAACTTGGGTTTTGCTGGGAGGTCAATGATTGACACCAGGTAAAATATTCATAGAATCATAGAATCATAGACTATCAGGGTTGGAAGGGACCTCAGGAGGTCATCTAGTCCAACCCCCTGCTCAAAGCAGGACCAATTCCCAACTAAATCATCCCAGCCAGGGCATTGTCAAGCCTGACCTTAAAAACCTCTAAGGAAGGAGATTCCACCACCTCCCTAGGTAACCCATTCCAGTGCTTTACCACCCTCCTAGTGAAAAAGTTTTTCATAACATCCAACCTAAACCTCCCTAAGTGCAACTTGAGACCATTACTCCTTGTTCTGTCATCAGGTACCACTGAGAACAGTCTAGATCCATCCTCTTTGGAACCCCCTTTCAGGTACTTGAAAGCAGCTATCAAATTCCCCCTCATTCTTCTCTTCTGCAGACTAAACAATCCCAGTTCCCTCAGCCTC